CACATAGCATTTATTTGTGAGGTCTAAAGGCATAATGTGGGGGACTGTGAATGAGTATGTCAAAACCACATGCTGTATATGTATGTCTTAAAGAATGAAAAAGGATTCCTTTTTTCTCAAGACATAGAAGCTGTCTCAACAGTAGAAGTCCAAAGTGAATACCACAACCTAATTAAAGATGAAGAGCATAACAAGCAGTATTAAAATGTCTTTTTTGATTCATTCTTCTCCAAGCTATGTTTTTATCAAATGTCTTGTCTCATTAATAACTCCAATAGACATAACGAGTATGCACACCTTCTAATCTCACCAGATTTGAAAGAGAGTTGAAAGTATTTTCCTCTACGTTTTCTGGGAGGTATGAAAGAAAAGGTTGCAGAGGATGCAGGGTGGAAAGAGGCTCTGGGAAGATACTAAGTCCACTTACTTGCCTACAGGGATGATCACACTTATTAATATACTTCCAGACAGAAGAGGCTGCTTTTAATCATCACTGGAGTAAGAAACACCACAGTCTCTCTTAGGAATCAGTTCCTACATTTAGAACCTTGATATCCAGGAAGTTCTTCCATGTTTCAGGGGTAGCTTCCTAATAAACAATGGAGCTGCTTGGTCACTCAGGCCCTTGTGTGTAGAAGGGACTCCTGCCCAGTTTAATGGTTTGTTTGTTTGTTTGTTTGTTTTTTTGTCACCATCTTGAAATTCTTAGTACTTTTATTTTTAAACTGTGTTCTGTAGGCAAAGTCTGATGGGGCAATGGAGCCTGTGTATGAAAAGGGAAGATATGTGTAGTGTGTGTGTCCCATCTCTCCTTTCTGTCCCATTCACAAACAGCCTGGAAACCTCAGAAGTGCCATGGCCCTAGGATGCGTGGGATGCTCAAGTAAGGAAGGTACGCTGTGTCTAGATGATTAATCAGGGACACTGACAGCTCAAGAGGCTTTTCACTGGAACCAGAAAGTGTTTTAAATGAAGAAAGAATTCAGTAGCATTCAAAGAAACATGAATGACTGAGGAAGTCTACTCTATCCTTTCTTACTCCTGTTTCTTTCCCGTATCATGAAACCACTTACATTGAAAATGATAACATAGAATGAAAGGGAAAGATGAAGCCACACAGAGTTCCTTTTCCAAGTGTTGGAGTATGGCACATATCAAACAAAAAGTGAAATAAAAAGTTAAATCTTGTGCAGCAATTCCATAGTTCTGTAAGAACGAAACATATCTGCATGTACAAGCTATGAAATACAAGTTGTGTAATTTTGTTGAGTCTTCATATGAGCATAATGCTCTCATATTTGTATTTCAAAATGGCACTGCTCATTATAAAGATCAGTGGTAAATTTTATACTAATAGTTTAGATTTTTAATTTTTCTTAGAAGGACATGAAATAGTAAATAAAAAGCACCATTGCAAGGCAACCATGGTGGTACACTCATGTAATTCCAGCAACTCAGGAGGCTGAGAAAGGAAGACTGCAAGTTCAAGGTCAGCCTCAGCAACTTATCAAGTCTTTCAGTAAGCAAGACCATGTGTCAATATAAGAAATGAAAAGGTCTCGGGATCTAGCTTAGTGGTAAAGCATCCCTGGCTGGGTTCAACCCCCAGCACCAAACAACAACAACAAAAAGCACCATGGCAAGTTGAAGGGAGACAGGAGGGAGGGAGGGAGGGAGGGAAGAAAGGAAGGAAGGAAGGAGAGAGAGGGAGGAAGGAAGAAAGAGAGAGAGAGGAAGGAAGGAGGGGGAGGGAGGGAGGGATCCAGGTAGGAAGGAAGGAGAGAAGGAGGAAGAAAGGAGGGAGGGAGGGAGGGATGGAAGGAGGGAAGGAGGAAGAAAGGAGGGAGGGAGGGAGGGAGGGAGGGAG